GTACTCTGCATCGTAAATGTCATACAATAGACACTTCCCGAATTTGCTTGAGTGCACACGAAACAATAGCTTGGAATCGAGGCGGACAATGTAATCATTGTAAATAAGTAGTTATTTACAATGATTACATTGTCCGCCTCGATTCCAAGCTATTGTTTCGTGTGCACTCAAGCAAATTCGGGAAGTGTCTATATTATCGGTATACCGGTTTTCCTTTGATAATTATAAAGGAAAATTCTTTAATGGAAGTTTGAAGGAAATTTTGAGTAATTCTAAAAGGGAAAACGATAATTTCGAAGCTGTTTCGAACGACATGCACTGATGCACATACTCAGTGTAAAATCTCACTGGAGTGGAAATCCTAAATCATTGCAGTAGAAAGTCCTTTGAATTGCCATTCAGTAGTAAAATAAAGGTTATGGTTTCGCTATATAGTTGGTAAATTTAACACGGTATACAGAAAAATTCCGGTATATCCGAAATTTCGGTATATCGGTATGGTTGAATATCCGGTATCGATTTACCGATATTGATTTAATACCGATATTTTCGGTATATCGATATACCGAACAGTCCTACAGTCCGTATAATTATAGTTACATTACGTACCGTATTAGTTTACTACTTGCGTTATCATCTTGTGACGTTTGGGATGACGCGGAAGACTGGATCGAATCGAGTGATGACAATGAACTACTTCGCCGCCGACGTGACCTGGGGCCAGGAATTTGGGACCCAGAAACTGGGAGCTAGAAGAATATTTGAACATTATTTTAACCTGTCATTTAAAAGGCAGATTTACAGGACAAAACGTTTGCCCAAAACTGTCTCATGCAACCTGCTTACAACTTGAGTTATACTGGGTAAATCAAGCCCACACAAGCCTTGAAAGGTTATTATAAACAAGGTTTACAGTCAAGATTTGACTTTTGAGTTTCGTTACTTTTACCTTAGATTTGCAATCTTTCGTTCCAAACTTGTCAAGCGATTCCGAAGAATTAAAAATTTTCCTGGTTAAAATACAAGACAATACATTTAATTGCTTTTTTCTTACAAAACCTATTAGAAATTATTCTAACTCTATAATATTATTATATCAATAAGCAATATCGTACCTTTTTGCTAAAGTTTTGGCTGATCTTGAGCTAATTTTGCTGGCATCTTGGGGAAGTTTAACAGGAACACTTTTTTGCTACAATAAAAATTCGAAACAATGCCATCACTTTAATATACCAGTGATGGATCATAAAAACACAATGGATCGTAATTTTTTAACTATTCATGAATATACTATAATAATCATTTTCAGGCTTGTAATTTCAAAAACTCTACAAGTGCGCTAATTATGCTAATTTAAATATTTTACCAATTTACTGTTTGATGAATTACTTGTCCCTGATTTTTCAGTGCTTGGTCGATCTGTTTGAGAATTGGGTTTCTCCAGGGGCACTGCATCGGCATTTTTCATTGCAACGTCGCGTTTCTTGCTTGAGCCTGTGGACCTGATTGGCTAAAAAGTTTGATTCAGAAATGTCACATTGAATGCTGGTATATACAGTGCTACAAAAAAAACTACAATCAAACTTCTGTGTTGCAATAAATTGTTTTCCTGCACACAAAAACAATGTATGTAGGAGACATGTATCATTGAACCTTCCTACAATAGGTGCGCAAAAAGGTACCTCGTGTCATTGACAAGCGCTATTACTGTAAAATGCCATAGCAATATTTCGCTTACCGTCTACTGAGGAGCGTTTACTGGGGCGTACCATTAGAAAAACGATGCGGGGGAGGGTGCAGTAAAGAAATTCCAGCACAAGCAGAAAACCGGAAAAAAATACGTGCAGTCGTTTTTCTAATGGCCCGTCCTTTATCGGAGTTTATTACCTACAATCGTCCACAAAATATATTGAGACTTTTGGAATCACTCCCTCCTACCCTATTTCAATGTTGAAAGGCTACTATATGTTTGTGGAATGAAAATAGTGTGACACCAGAACAGCAACTGTCCTATTGGCAGTTGACATTTTACGTATGAAGTTTGAAATAAATAATATTATAGTACAATACAACATT